CACACACACACACACACACACACACACACACACACACACACACACGCAGTATACATGTATGATCAGTTTAAATAGCCCATCCCTGATTTAAAGAAATTTCTGTTATGATTGCAAGCTAAAATAAGTTCTGTATATCATAAGGTAACATTGTTTACAAACTATTGCAGCCTTATTTAGTCCCATCTCACAATGCTTTCATTTCCTGGTCAAAGTTTGCACAAGTCCTAATCTGAAGTCATGAGGGCGTGTGCAGCTCATAAAGATTGTGTGCATGTACTGGCTACTGATAGCTTCAGCAAATCTCAAATCACTCAAGGGAAAGCCCATGTGCTGCGCTGACTTTAACTTGCGAACAAACTACAATAAACTCCTACTTAAACATAAATGAAAGACAAACTGTGAAAGTTTTGCCAGGGTTGAAACATGGGCTGCTGGGCCAAGCTGAGGCCATCTGGATGGGCTTATCCAACCACAATCTTGTGTCTCTATGGCTTTTTTGCTAACTGCCGAGTAGCAGAGCCCTTCCTCACACCTTATTTAATTGGACCACACAAGAACATCTCTGAAGAGGTGGTAAGAATCACACATGCATTTGTTTGTTACACAGCCATTGGGAGTGATTGCCAAGAAGTTAATAAAATTCTATGACAAAAATAATGAATGTTCATCTTCTCAGCCCTTTATTGTCTCCCTCAGGTAACCAATTATCTGTTTCCCATCTGGACGTACTCCTACCTGGCCTTCCTTTTCCCTGTTTTCCTCTTGACCGACTTCCTCAGATACAAGCCCGTCATTATGGTGCAGGGCCTTTTTCTGGTCACCAACTATATCCTGCTCTGCTTTGCCCCTGGTCTGTCTGCAATGATCTTCCTTCAGGTCAGCAAGTAACCAATTTCACAACAAACGGCAGCAAATGCAGTAAAATACATAACACTCAATAAACTGATAGMATTGTCTCACTGACATACATCTAAAAACTTTTTTTGTCTTGCAGCTGCAGTGAGAATAATCAGTAACACTTTTTAAAGCCTAAATGAAGTTGTTTGTATGCAAAATCACTATGTGCAGTTTCATCATGACTGCTGTATTTTGTTTTTACAGATAAACTATTCAGTAGTGACTTCCACAGAGGTGGCCTACTTCTCTTACATTTACAGTGTGATTCCACTTGAAAAATACCAAAGGGCTACAGGTTACCTGCGCAGTGCCATGCTGACTGGATATACATTTGGTGCCAGCCTAGGTCAAATGCTCGTCTCCCTTGCAGGTAGGACTACAAAACTTTGTAATAAAGCTAAAAATAATCTTCAAGAACATGTAAAAATATCTCTAGCTTAGAAAAAAAAATAAAAAATCATAAAGAATTTGTACTCAACTATGTTTCGAAATGCAAAGTGGGCACTTTTAAAGTTTTTCCTCTGATTGACAGGAGTGGACTACTTCTACATCAATACTATAACTCTGGGGTTTATGAGCGTAGCTTTTCTCATCTCGTTCTTGTTGCCCATGCCCAAAAGAAGCATGTTCTTCAAGGTGGAAAAGGCTGCAGGCTCACACAAGGAGGAATGGCTCAGGAGCAACGAGGATCCAGTGATGGATGCGAGTGCAGCAGGCCCAGAGGAGGAGAAGATGCAGCGCGATGGCAGTGCTGCATGGTTCAGCAAAAAAAATCTGACTGCTGCAGGACATTTGCTTTGGGGGAGTTTGAGGGAGTCATACTCTTCACGGTACGTTCACGATGTCTTGTGTTTTATTTATAGAGGTCACACAGAGAAACAAGTATGCATACAGCAAATTATTACAGCTTGGATAATTACTCGCTGTGGTGTTTATCTACAAATTATTCATCCAGAAATGCCCTTGAAAATCTATTCAACGTAACCTGTTGCTTTACTTTGCACCATGCAGACATTTAGTCTACTGGTCCTTGTGGTGGGCTCTGGCTACAGCTGGCTATACGCAGATCTTTAACTACATTCAGCTTATGTGGGACCATATAGAGCCATCTGCAACATCATCCATCTACAACGGAGGAGTTGAGGCTGTTTGCTCGGTTGTTGGTAAAGTTTTCATCATCCTGAACTTGCAGTAGACCTGGAAATATGATACTATGAGTGAAAGAATAAGAATGAAAAAAAAAGAGAAAAATAGTGAGGGTGAAAATGAGACAAAAGGAGAGAATCAGAATGAAAGTGGGGTTAAGAAAAAGAGGAAAAATGAGAATTAAAGAAACGAACATAAAGAAAAATATGTTTTTATTTTGGCTGGTTCCTTTTGCAAAGGGAGCCAATTTGCATGAAATATGTGGCGATTGTTTTATGCCAAATACCTTTCTGGATGCAGGGCTTAAACCTGCAGCTTCAGGATTACTAGACTGCACCAAGCACTGAGCTTCTGTAGACCCTAAAGAAACACAAAAACACAAGTAAAACTGTGAATAAGTAAAAAGCTGAAAGTAAGGATGGTCGCAAAATCAAATGACATGACAATGAGAATAATAAGAAGAAACTAAAAGTGGAAAATTTTTAATAAGAACAAGAAAAAAAAGAATAAGGAGAAATGTAACTAAGAAATAGAGCAACCATAAACAATAACTCCACCCCAGCCAAACAGAAGTTGTTTGCACAAACTTCAGAGTTAAACAGAACAAAAATAGAAACATGAACACTGAGATTTACTACCCTTCAAACTTGAACCAGAAGTTGAATTGTTGTTGGGAAGAAGAAAACCTGTACGCCTGCAATTTACCACACAGAGCCACATTTAACAATGTCATTTAAAGCTGCCACATTTGATAGCACACAGACAGATAAAAATTGCAATTAACTAAAAACAAGCAGGCTGCACCTGGTTATTTGCTGTGACTGATTAAATGGAAAATGGGTATTGATTTTGAATGGAAACAGCAGCACCAGGGGTCCCTTTTGGCTCACATTCACAGCCTGGCCTCGGCACAAGAGGAGGAAGAGTAATTGCTTCAGTTAAGGAGATAGTCAAAAGGTAATGGATTCTCTGATTATTGCTGATAGTGGATTCCAAGGGTCTGGTGCAAAAGGTTTGTCAAACCAGGCTATGGAGAGATGCCAAAGCATATGTGAGCATGGGGTTTTTGTAAACTTTCAAAGCAGGGCGGAGCCAGAGGGAGAGCACAAGATGGGTCACCCCAGGTGCTACCCCCAAATGATTAAAAGGCGGGGTGGGGATCGCATGRGGCAATAAGATATGGGCAGTTAGAGCAAAAACAGAATAGATATCTGTCAAGATCTGTAATATCTGGTGCAAAGGAAACCTTTCAATGTGTAAAAATAGCATTAGAGGTTAGACTGAAATTGTGACTAGCATTCAGCATGTTTTTTGATCATTTTTAGCTATATGATCACACAAAATTTCAGCTCTTATCTTAAAATAGCTGAATTGGAGCCATTTGAAATTGGCTGTGGCAGCCATCTTTAATTTTCAAATCCAGTGTCATTTCCTTTACTTATATGTGCCCCCATAAATAACACGTTGCCCAACCCTGAGCCAACWCTAGCAAAACAAGTCTAACTCAACCCCAGTTTCAGTGTTTAAGGAAAGAGATAGAGGCCTTGAGATAAATAAATCACAACAACAAAGATGCTGAGTATTTTATTTTCTCATGCGACAGGTGCTGTGGCAGCTTTTTCTGTGGGCTTCATCAAGGTGTCCTGGGCCGTGTGGGGAGAGCTGGCGTTGGGGCTGTTCTCGGCCGTGGCGTCAGGCGCAGTGTTCCTGATGGCGTTCACCAGCAGCATCTGGGCGTGCTACGCTGCATATGTGATATTCAAATCCTGCTACATGTTTCTCATCACCATCACAATGTAAGCTTACAGAGAGGTTCTATTTTGTTTACACCAGATTAGCAAGTTGGACTCTCTCTAATTACTTGGTTTGTCTGGCCCGCAGTTCAAAACATTTTACAGAACATAGTGGTTTGGACACTTGTATGTATAATAATTTAAAACAAACACAAACTACATTGAGGCAGCACGGAAACTCAGTTCATAAGACTGTTGTCTCCCAATTGAATCCTGACGAGAGACCTTTCTGGGTGGACTTTGCATGTTTTCTTCGTGTATGGGTGTTCTCTGGGTACTCCGGTTTCCTCCCACAGACTAAAAACAATACTCTTAGGTCAATTGGCAACTCTAAATTTTTCCTATGTGTGACATTATGAATGGTTGTTTGTCTTTGTGTGTCTCTGTGATGGATTGCAACCTGTCCAGAGGGTACCCCGCCTCTCACACAGCGACTGCTAAACATGGGCATCAGTAACCACTATGACGCAATAAGGAAGAAGCGGGTAAAGATAATGGATGGATGGACTTTTCTGTGGAAAAACAAATAAATTAAAACATTAACAACAACAACACACACACACACACACACACCCTTTTTTTCCCTCTTCCATTTGCTTTCATACAGTCATTTTCTTGACCCTGCG